TAAAGAAGTCTCTCATGCTCACCAAGGCTGCATTAAAGTATGTGACCCTGGACCACAAAACCAGTCATAAGGATCAATTTTTTTAAATTGAGATTTATACATCATCTGAAAGCTGAATAAATAAGCTTTCCAATAGCTGTTTCCATCCACCTATTTTTATGTGAATTTTGGATTTGCTAGATGGAAATGCCAAGATGCGCATAAATTCTAAAAATGCGCATAAAAAACGTATGTGCACAACTGAGTAGGTTAAACTTTTTATCCGATAAGAAAAAATGCGCATAAACTACGATGGAAACACATTTACCGAATAAATTCCTCCATGCGCATTGAAAAAGTCATGTGACTTTGCGCTATGAGATGGGATAACTTGACAAACCAGTGGACCGATCTCGTTCACAGCATCTATATGTTGTTTTGGTCGTTCTAAAATGCCCGAGGAAAGTCTGTCGTCAAAGTCTTACATGACTGCGTTCCCAAACAGCAGGCATCCACCTCTAAAAGCAATGACCGCATTTATTGTGTTTCGTCTGCTCTCTCTGAAGCACAAGTAATTTATTACATATGAAAATCATTATATTCAGTGGCTTCTCCTAGTTTTCTTGGAGACATTTAGTGCCAGTTTATCAGGAAGTGACAATTTTGTTCTCTTTGACTCGTTGGATGGAAACGGTGCTTTATTCGCAAATGTTTTATGCCATATTCCAGTTTTGCGCAAAAGTTAAATTTGCATGTTTGGATGGAAACATAGCTATTGATATATGGTTTGTTAGGATAGGACAATATTTGGCCGAGATACAACTATTTGAAAATCTGGAATTTTGGCTATTGCTACAAATATACCCAAGCGACTTAAGACTGGTTTTGTGGTCCAGGGTCACATATAAATGATACAGTAAAAACAGTGATATTGTGAAATATTACAATTTAAAGTAACTCTTTCTATTTTATTTTAAAATGTAACATTCCTTTGATGTCAGAATTTTCAGTAGACATTACCCTAAACTCCAATGTTGAAAGCAGTTATGTTTCTTAATATTGTTGTGAAAACCATGTACATTTTTTCAGGATTCTTTGATGACTAGAAAGTAAATAATATAATATACAGGGGTATTTTTTTTGTTCTGGTAGGTTCCTTCTAAAAGCGGCTGTCATGGTTCTGATATGGGTCTTTGCAACAGCATGATTCATTTTAATTACATGAAAATGATATGAATCAAAATTTGTTATTAAGGTACTCACATAGTCCTTCAGCTTATGCTTGAAGAAATGTCAATTTGCTCAAAATATTACAAGGAACATTGGATAGGAACAAGCGGCAGGGTCAGAAACACTTCATATATTTCATTATGTTCAGTTCAATGTCTAGTTTTGCCTGAAAATAATTCATTAGAACTAAAACATTTTATACTGAATAAAACTGGTGTTCTGCCAGAATGGGTTTTGTGGGTGGTTTTATATATAAAAATAATATTAATTAAATTATTATTATTATTAAAAATGAATAATATTTACTCTGCATTTTCCACATCTCAATAGGACTACTTGGATGCCTTGATCTCCAATTACTATGTAAGTGTTTTCCTGCTGTGCTTGACACTCTTTTCTTTTTCTTTCTCCAGTTCATTCAGTAATGTTCTATTTAATGCAACGTCTCTTCATTTCTCAAGCTTTGGCCTCCGGTGCAGATCGCCAATTTTTATTTCATCCCTCTCCACCACAGGTAAAGCTCTGGTTTTAAAAACCACCCTTTTTAGCCTCAAAAGTCAAGTGATCATTGATAATGATAATGCATCCATTGCAGCAGGGCACTAATCCAGCGGTGCTGAAGATTTAAGGGCGTCACTGGGAAAAGAACGTACAGGACGTGCCTCTGCAACACAGTGTGTGGCACAGCAGCATTATGAAAGCTTATTAAAGGGAACGAAGCTGAGATATCTTTTTAATTAGGCTCTCGTTTTCATTTTGACTATTGGGAGTTTTTAAAACAGATTTTTTGTTTGTGTGTTGTTTGATGCTACTGCTTTCTGGCACCTGAACTTCCACACTGGGATTAACAACTAGAGTCAGTCGGTCTATCTGTATCTATATCTATACACGCACGCACACACCTGGAAACCATCTGGATTTGTATTGTTTTCTGTATTCATGTTTTAAGACACGAATGTGATATTTGCATTTGGTCACATTCATTATAAATACATGATTTCTAATACAGTAATATGTTCATGCTTGCGTTTTTCAGATTGGCTGTTGTTCAGATTGTGGCTGTTGCCTGGAACGCTTACCTCTCCTGGAAAGCCAATAAGATGTAATGAGATGTTCCAGATTGACCACTACCTCACACACGGGAACATTTTTGTTTGTAGTTTTATTAAATAAATGTAGTAACAGACTCACACATAGGCGCACAAAGCTTACAGATGAAGTTTGCACAACAAAGGTCAAAGCTGACAATAACGTAATTCAGACCTCTGACATTTTATTAACCTTTGCAATTAACGCTATTTCAATATTTGTGATTATAGGTTCTGTAAAGAATTCTATACATTTGATTTATATGCCTATATTTAGCACTGTTTAGATGGTGAAATATGGTGTGTTGCTCACTTAAAACAGCAGGCCTGTTTGTTACAGGATGTGGCTGCATTTTGAGTCATTTTTGGTGTCTTCTGTGGTCACTAATTAAGTTCAGGAACATGTGATTGACAGAAGTGAAGTTATGGGCGTTACATCTTCTACTAGGGCATTGCATTGATTAACACAATACAATAATGTGTACAAAATACATCTTTCACAGATGCCAGACCATTCATTCCCTTTATTTTTAATGCATTTTACAACTCCTTCAAGTACTGAAACATCATGAAAAATTCAAAGGACATAAAAAATATTTAAAAATAATGCATCACGTTAAAACAACACACAAGACATCAACACTTTAAATTAAAAGCCAAATAATACAAATGTTTACAACCAAGCTTTAAAACTAGATTTATTAGTGGTGACTAATTTCAAGGGGCAAGCCTTTCCATGATCTAGGCCCTGTGTTCATCATAAAAACATCACTCATACCTGAATCTCTTCAAAGTATTTTATCCAAGACAGTAAATCTATCAAATATGTCTTATTTTCCGATTTCTATGTATGAAGAATCTTGTTAACCCATTATTAACTTATCCTTATGTCATGTGCTTTAGCACATTTATGGACTGGTGAAATTGGTGTAGATGGTCTATATTTAAAAGGAAACGGCTGACATTGAAATCTTGGCCTGAATTTACAGATTTTTTTCTAGCACAGTGTTGAACCAATAGACCCTGTTCTTTGCTGCCCTTGCCAATAGGATGTAGGGCGGCTGTTCTTCAGTTTGACTGCAATTCACAGCTTCAGTCTGCAGATCAGCTCTATGACTGGACAAAGCTGTCACTGGATAACTAGTGGTGTATCTGCTAACTGTCATCCTTCCAAAAAAAATCAAATCACACCTACTGTTATTAGACTCTATATATATATATAATTTGTTTCTTCACACTGAGCAGGAAGGTAAAGCCATGTTTAGGATTTTCCTTCGAGAGCGTGTCAGGCTTATATAAATATCTCCGCATGTCCAGCTAATGCTTCATCACTCTGGGGAATTGACGGCTAGCCAGAAACAATAGTCAACAGTGACTAAACCTCTGCATCTGGCTGTTGAATGCGTTTTGCTCAGCCACTCTTTAAAACGTTATAATTTAGTTAGAAAGCATTTTAATTCATGACTACATGACATGGTGTATTTTTACTAATATTAATGTCAGTATTATAACGTGAAGTTCGCAAAAGTACTTCTAATACTGTGAATTTAGCTCACATACATTAATTCTAGACCGATTATTTTCAAATCATTTTTGTGTGTACTACCTAATAACAAACCACAGCCATATTGAAGTGTAAGATATGAAACAGAAATAATTTAATAAAAATATATGTACAACATTTACAGTTCCCATTATTGTTGCAGTCATATATATATATATATATATATATATATATATGAGCCAGCCAATGAATGCTGTCTGGCTGCATCTTGACGAATTTCAGCACCTTGGACAGAGACAGAGGCTTTCGTGTCCCCGTCGCGCTTCTGCTCTCCTCCAGACCACAGATGAGCAGCCATGCAGAAATCCATCACGACAGCAGCTCCTGAGCTCATTTTGCTCAGGTGCATTTAAAAAACAACAACAAGTGATTTAACAGTCAAAGGACCAATCAAAACATTAACTGACTACCTGTCCGTTACAACTTGTTTTATTGGATATATTGTCTTTGAAACCATGTTTATGACTTTGCAACACCATCAAGATGATGTTTTTTAACTGAAAACTTTGGAGAGATGAAGAAACGTCTCACTTTGTCCTTCGGATACAGCTCCTTTACTCCATTCTTCGTTTCAGTTCAGAATTGCCTCATTTACAAGCAGTTTATGCAGCTCGACTGACGTCAGTGGAGCGGTGTGTGATGTATATAACCATTGAGCTCCAGGAGCTTCACTCCAGTCTGTCTGCAAACACTCTTCCTTACAAGTACTTTTGAAGCAACAGAAGACGACCGAGTAAGTTACCTTGTATGACTTGCTTTCAGCTTCTTGACTGAGGCCATTCAAGCTTAGCTGCGAGCATGAGAATTTGTGTTGATATTGTACAGGACTGTCATTCTTGTTCATTGAGTTAGCTGATTGTTCAGTCAGGAGTAGGCTACATGGCGTCTGATTTCCAGATTCGGTTTATGTAGCTATTAAAGTAGATAAGTATTAATTCCGTTGTTTATTTTTACACATTTTTATTTTAAATTTTTTTATTATTTATTACGATAGTGGCATGACTATTATAGTTATTTAACCGCAGAACAGTGATCATGTTTGTGTTTTATTTTTATTCAATAATTTATTTGATATTTATTTGCTTTATAAGTTCAGATGCAAATTCTTTTAACGTATCACCGATTTTAGCTGATGCTCGATTTATACATTTATATATATATTGACATTATATCAATAATTTAATATTGCACATAAAATACAAGTCTATTTTCTATGTGCATTAATCTAATGTTCAATTAAAAATAGCCAACTCTTAATTTTGTAACTAATATTAATAATTTAAAAAATAATTGTTTATTCATTTTATAATTTATACTAGTACTTTTGTATTCGAATAAATCAAAATACGATTTTAAAATCCTGTAAATTTGCATTAGCACTTTTATATAAAGTTTTAATATAGATACTTAAAAATATACATATAAAAACACTTTTATCTCAGTTTTGCTATTTATATTAGCACTATTTGGTAATATTTACTAAAAAATACATTTAGGCTACTTTTTATTTATATAATTTAAAAAACACATATTACACATTCAATATCTTTTACTTAATTTAACAAAAATACACGAAACAACTAATTTCATAATGTCAATTTTGTCATTTTTATTAGCACTTTTATATTGGTTTACTTAAATACTGCATATACCAAAATACTAAATATATGTAGGCTACAAATTTTTTGTATACTTAATTTAAAAAGTTTCATTTGAATTTTGTCATTTATATCCGCACTAGGCCTGCAACCTATATGAACTTATACTTTTGATTTTACGCAATATAAAAATAACTCCTTTCGTAATCTCAAATTTGTATTTTAAATGAACACTTAACAGACACTTTTGCAGTGTAGTTGTGTACTAAACCTTTGGTTTGTAGTAACGCACCTGGCTGTTTCCCTCAGGAAGCGCGCTGCTGTGTCCAGCATGAAGCCCGTCCCTTTGGTCCTGCTCATAACTTCAGTCTTACTGACCACCCACATCCCGCTGAGCACCTGTCGACCCCGCGACCTGAGCCTCATGAACAGCCAGCTAGACGACGTGCTGTTAAACAGGGCAGGAGACGACGCCATGTCCTACCTCGTGGGCGAAAAACTCCTTCAGTATTTGCAAAGAAACCTCGGAGCGCAGAAGGCAGGCGGTGTCCTGCATCTCCCGCACTTCCCCACGGCGCAGCTGCGCTCTCCTCACGAGGACAACAGCTTAGAGGAGCTCACGGAGTTTTCCAAACGGAACGACGATCCTCCGATCTCCATCGACCTCACCTTCCACCTGCTGAGAAACATGATCGAAATGGCGCGAAACGAGAATCAAAGGGAACAGGCGGGACTGAACCGCAAATATCTAGATGAGGCTGGGAAGTAGCTGTAGCTCCATGATGATGCTTTCAATCTGCGAGTAAAGATCAAGCTCAATGCACTCTTTCACACCCCCAAACTCTCGCTAAAGCATATGACATTCACCGATGCCTCCTGCTGACCCACACTCTTACAAATAAAGGTTCTTCAGTGGTTCCTTGCCACTGCAGAGAACCTCCATCTCGTTCTTGAGTTGGCTGAGGTTCTTTGGAGAGTTAAAAAAAAAAAAGTTCTTCAGATCAGGCTGTTGGTTTCTGCATTCCAACATGAAGAACAACAGAAAAAAAAAGTTCTAAAAGGTTCACGTATGGCATCAGTGTTATGTGGAACCTTTATTTTTAAGAGTGTCATCTATCTGTTCACCAGAAGAGTTTCTGGTGACCTGCTGCTGTCTCCATCACCTCTGGACCATTTCAGAACCAGGAACCGCATGCAAGAGTCACACAACAGACCTACCAGGACCTCAGAACGCTGATCAGTCAGGGTGGTTCACATGTAACCAAATTGAGAAACCAATCAATCTACAATTGACTTGTGCCCTTTGAGTGTTTACAGTTATTGGCCTCCTATTTAGAGTTACACTCTTTAAAAACAAAGGTTCTTAATTGGCATCTGTGGTTCCATGAAGAACGTTTAACGTCCATGGAAACTTTATAGTGGTTCTTTAGACGATTAAAATGTTCTTCACACTAAGAACGAAAAGGTTCTTTTTAGAACTGTTCACTGAAAGCTTTAGAAGGTTTTTCTAAGGCATGGCTGTGAAACCCCTCTTTTGGAACCTTTGTTTTTCAAATGTGTATAAATGGAAGAAATATTACAAATCCTGCTAATTAGTATTGAGTTATTCTCAATGAAGTAAAAGAAGGCCACTGTAAAGAGCAATTTCTGTTCGGCTGGTTTGGTTGCATCCTCGCACTTTGCCAGAGTTTTCTCATTTCATGAAATGCTATACTTTGGTAATATTACCAATATTTACCACACACATAATGCCAGATGCTCACTGTATACTACGTGCAAAAGTATGTTCTCCTCACGTGGGAAACGATGATCTGTAGCACTTCAACCAAGAGGCTTACCCACATTTTGTGACAATAATGTTGGACAATATTACAAAGTGCTTGAGATATACTGTACATTGTATATTGCTTATCATTATGTAAATTACATATTATATTGCACCTAAATGCAAACATTACTTTGTATTTTGAACATGAATCTGCAGAAATAAATGAGTCTACATGCCTTTTACAAGTAACTGCAAACATGTAAACCTCATTATCACCCATTAAAAGTGCTAATGATCACAGCAGACACAGGTTTATAGGAAGCCAGCATCATTGACATTTACACAGGCATTAACGGCACACAGAACATAAAAACACAAGTGGTGAGTAACAGGTGAGATGCCACTATGGAAATTGCTGTACATTATTTTGAAATGAACTGAAGGGCTGTAACAGTATTAATCCAAAAAGCTTTTTTTTTAATGTGATTCTACTAGTTGATCTAGGTAGTGATTTATCATTCGTTTTAAATGAGATGTCTTGGTTGAGTGTATTCGTAGATAAATGTAGAATTATTAGCCTGTCTATGTCATACAAATCATTCACCACTTAAAATATGAAGCATCTTTATTTGAAAGTGAAAAATACACTATAAGGCTACAAACAAACAAATGACTAAAAAAATAAATAAACATCTGGGTTGTCCAAATATATATGTATATACACTACCATTCAAAGTTTGATGTATAAGATTATAGTAAGATTTTATTTGCTAAAAATAGAATTTTAAATATATTCAGCAAGGAAGCATTAAATACTTTTAGTAAACACTTCTTTACAATAAGGTCTCATTTGTTAACATTAGTTAATGCATTAACTAACATGAACTAACAATGAACAATATTTTTACACCATTTATACATTTTTGTTAATGTTAGTTGATAAAAATTTTCATGTTCATGTTAATTCACAGTGCATTTACTAATGTTAACAGATACAACTTTAAATTTTAATAATGTATTAGTTTTGAACTTAATATTAACTTAATAAATGCTATATAATTATTGTTCATGTTAACTAATATAGTTAATGTTAACAACTGAAACCTTATTATAAAGTGTGACCACAGTTTTATATACAGTTTTATGTACTGATCATTAAAAGTTTTGGTTTACAATAATATATTATATATATTAGCCAATGAATGAGGTCTGTCTGCGTCTTGAAAAATTTCAGCACCTTGGACAGAGACGGAGCCTTTCGTGTCCCCGTCACGCACTTCTGCTCTCCTCTTGGCCACAAATGAGCAGCCACGCAAAAATCCATCACGACCGCAGCTCCTTAGCATTAGCACCAAGTGATTTTAAAGTCTAAGGACCAATAAAACCATTAACTGATCACCTGTCTGTTACAACTTCGGATATATTGTCTTTGAAACCAAGTTTATGACTTTGCAACAGTATCAAGATGACCTTTTCTGATTGAAAACTTTGGAGAGACAAAGAAACGTCTCACTTTGTCCTTCGGCTCTACAGCTCCTTTACTCCACTCTTCGTTTCACTTCAGAATTGCCTCATTTACAAGCAGTTTATGCAGCTCGACTGACGTCAGTGGAGCGGTGTGTGATGTATATAACCATTGAGCTCCAGGAGCTTCACTCCAGTCTGTCTGCAAACACTCTTCCTTACAAGTACTTTTGAAGCAACAGAAGACGACCGAGTAAGTTACCTTGTATGACTTGCTTTCAGCTTCTTGACTGAGGCCATTCAAGCTTAGCTGCGAGCATGAGAATTTGTGTTGATATTGTACAGGACTGTCATTCTTGTTCATTGAGTTAGCTGATTGTTCAGTCAGGAGTAGGCTACATGGCGTCTGATTTCCAGATTCGGTTTATGTAGCTATTAAAGTAGATAAGTATTAATTCCGTTGTTTATTTTTACACATTTTTATTTTAAATTTTTTTATTATTTATTACGATAGTGGCATGACTATTATAGTTATTTAACCGCAGAACAGTGATCATGTTTGTGTTTTATTTTTATTCAATAATTTATTTGATATTTATTTGCTTTATAAGTTCAGATGCAAATTCTTTTAACGTATCACCGATTTTAGCTGATGCTCGATTTATACATTTATATATATATTGACATTATATCAATAATTTAATATTGCACATAAAATACAAGTCTATTTTCTATGTGCATTAATCTAATGTTCAATTAAAAATAGCCAACTCTTAATTTTGTAACTAATATTAATAATTTAAAAAATAATTGTTTATTCATTTTATAATTTATACTAGTACTTTTGTATTCGAATAAATCAAAATACGATTTTAAAATCCTGTAAATTTGCATTAGCACTTTTATATAAAGTTTTAATATAGATACTTAAAAATATACATATAAAAACACTTTTATCTCAGTTTTGCTATTTATATTAGCACTATTTGGTAATATTTACTAAAAAATACATTTAGGCTACTTTTTATTTATATAATTTAAAAAACATATTACACATTCAATATCTTTTACTTAATTTAACAAAAATACACGAAACAACTAATTTCATAATGTCAATTTTGTCATTTTTATTAGCACTTTTATATTGGTTTACTTAAATATTGCATATACCAAAATACTAAATATATGTAGGCTACAAATTTTTTGTATACTTACTTTAAAAAGTTTCATTTGAATTTTGTCATTTATATCCGCACTAGGCCTGCAACCTATGAACTTATACTTTTTTGATTTTACGCAATATAAAAATAACTCCTTTCGTAATCTCAAATTTGTATTTTAAATGAACACTTAACAGACACTTTTGCAGTGTAGTTGTGTACTAAACCTTTGGTTTGTAGTAACGCACCTGGCTGTTTCCCTCAGGAAGCGCGCTGCTGTGTCCAGCATGAAGCCCGTCCCTTTGGTCCTGCTCATAACTTCAGTCTTACTGACCACCCACATCCCGCTGAGCACCTGTCGACCCCGCGACCTGAGCCTCATGAACAGCCAGCTAGACGACGTGCTGTTAAACAGGGCAGGAGACGACGCCATGTCCTACCTCGTGGGCGAAAAACTCCTTCAGTATTTGCAAAGAAACCTCGGAGCGCAGAAGGCAGGCGGTGTCCTGCATCTCCCGCACTTCCCCACGGCGCAGCTGCGCTCTCCTCACGAGGACAACAGCTTAGAGGAGCTCACGGAGTTTTCCAAACGGAACGACGATCCTCCGATCTCCATCGACCTCACCTTCCACCTGCTGAGAAACATGATCGAAATGGCGCGAAACGAGAATCAAAGGGAACAGGCGGGACTGAACCGCAAATATCTAGATGAGGCTGGGAAGTAGCTGTAGCTCCATGATGATGCTTTCAATCTGCGAGTAAAGATCAAGCTCAATGCACTCTTTCACACCCCCAAACTCTCGCTAAAGCATATGACATTCACCGATGCCTCCTGCTGACCCACACTCTTACAAATAAAGGTTCTTCAGTGGTTCCTTGCCACTGCAGAGAACCTCCATCTCGTTCTTGAGTTGGCTGAGGTTCTTTGGAGAGTTAAAAAAAAAAAGTTCTTCAGATCAGGCTGTTGGTTTCTGCATTCCAACATGAAGAACAACAGAAAAAAAAAGTTCTAAAAGGTTCACGTATGGCATCAGTGTTATGTGGAACCTTTATTTTTAAGAGTGGCATCTATCTGTTCACCAGAAGAGTTTCTGGTGACCTGCTGCTGTCTCCATCACCTCTGGACCATTTCAGAACCAGGAACCGCATGCAAGAGTCACACAACAGACCTACCAGGACCTCAGAACGCTGATCAGTCAGGGTGGTTCACATGTAACCAAATTGAGAAACCAATCAATCTACAATTGACTTGTGCCCTTTGAGTGTTTACAGTTATTGGCCTCCTATTTAGAGTTACACTCTTTAAAAACAAAGGTTCTTAATTGGCATCTGTGGTTCCATGAAGAACGTTTAACGTCCATGGAAACTTTATAGTGGTTCTTTAGACGATTAAAATGTTCTTCACACTAAGAACGAAAAGGTTCTTTTTAGAACTGTTCACTGAAAGCTTTAGAAGGTTTTTCTAAGGCATGGCTGTGAAACCCCTCTTTTGGAACCTTTGTTTTTCAAATGTGTATAAATGGAAGAAATATTACAAATCCTGCTAATTAGTATTGAGTTATTCTCAATGAAGTAAAAGAAGGCCACTGTAAAGAGCAATTTCTGTTCGGCTGGTTTGGTTGCATCCTCGCACTTTGCCAGAGTTTTCTCATTTCATGAAATGCTATACTTTGGTAATATTACCAATATTTACCACACACA